GTCACCAACCACAAGAATGCGCTTACCTCCATTAGCAGGGGCAGTAGTACCCTTACCTTCACTGGCCACTGAAGTACATTCATCCTGAAGAACAGAGAAGCGATTTCCTTCAGATCTTCACTCTTAACTTTCCTTACTCTGATGTGCCTCCCATTACTGTGAACCACTCGCCACTTGTAGCAGGTGCTGGACTGCACCTCACTGCTGGTAGCCGTTGCTACCTCCCCAACTACAGCCTCCTCACAGCGAGAGACAGACTGCACCTCACTGCTAGAAGCCTCATTCCCCACAACTCCAGCTACCTCACACTCTCTCCCAGACCCATTGAGGTGGACCTTCAGCCTCCTAATCTCCTCCTGGAGAAGCAAGACCTCCTCCTTCAACTCTCCAACCTCAATTTTTAAAACACTGCAGAAGCAAGCCATGCTTTGTAACCGTCCACACTAATCCCCAAAGCAGCTCAGGGTCTGTGACCTCACGTGACGACTGACCACGTCTCAGTTATGGTAAATACATCAATGTTACCTGCATTAGCAACTAATCTCAACTTGTCCATCTTATTCCTAGCACTACGACTATTGTGGAAAAAGACACTTATTTACAGTTGAGGACATTTATTAAAGGAAACGTTTCGCCACGAGTGGCTTCTTCAGTCCTAATACAGTGGACCCCCGCTTAACGATCACCTCCAAAAGCGACCAATTATGTAAGTGTATTTATGTAAGTGCGTTTGTACGTGTATGTTTGGGGGTCTGAAATGGACTAATCTACTTCACAATATTCCTTATGGGAAAAAATTCGGTCAGTACTGGCACCTGAACATACTACTGGAATGAAAAAAGTTCGTTAACCGGGGGTCCACTGTACATAGAAAACTAAGAAAATGCATACAGTAAGGCCCCGCTTTATGGCGTTTTGCCTTGCGGTGTTCTGCTAATACAGTGATGTCAAATTATGACCAAAATTTGCTATACGGCAAGCGGTCTTTCAAATACGGCACCCCCACCTGGTTTGTTTACATTTTCTGTGACATCTATTATGTCAGGAAACTTACCAAAATTTCAAGTGTTTTAAAGTTATTGCATATTTTATATGTACTCTGATAGTTATACTTATGTGTACCTGTACCTAAATATACTTACACACTGTGCTGGTGTGCAGGTACACATTAAAATCGCTAAGTCTCTCTCTACTCATGACGCCCCAATACTAAGTAATAATAGTCACTCTTGGGCACACTAAATGTCTTATTTTACATCAATATAGGCATTTTCATTAATCCATCTATGATATTTTCCTCAAAATTATATATGAAACCCATTACATAGCATATAAACATGATACATACACTCACAGAATAAAAATTGATGTAAATATGAGATTTGTTTACAAAGCAGCTGTGTAGGTAGTGTCGGAAGAATTACGTTTTCTCTAGTCAAACTGGGGGATAACTGTAGAAAAATATTCTTTTCGTATGCCTTTACTCTATATACAGCAATTCGCGACCCTTGTGGATTTAGTGCTTTTTATTATAATAATAATAATAATAATATTATTATTATTATTATTAATAATGATAATATTATTATTATTATTATTAATATTATCTTCATTCACTCTAAAAATGGTGTATTGCTGTTTGTTTATTCTGAACTAACTTGTACAACTTGTACACAATGTAAGAGTATGTGTAGCCCAGGAGAGCTACACCTACCGGCTACCTACACTGACTTCCTACAAATAAATACTACTCACCTCTCTTTCTACATTAAGACTACACATATTTTAAGGTAAATAATAAGTGTATTGTATGTGTATTTTACCTCTCTGGGACGTTTTAAATATTGTATATTAAGTATGAGAAGGGGAGCCAGGGCTACCTACACCTGGGCTACCTACACCTGGGCTACCTGCACCTGACTTCCTACAAATAAGTACTACTCACATCTCTCCCTACATTAAGATTACAAATACTTTAAAATAAGTTATGAATTTACTGTGAATGTATTTTACTTTGTGTGTTTTTAATGCCTAGTTCTATTACTAACCTAATATAATTTAGTGTAAGCTTGTTGTCTGGCATTTATATGCATTTATAAATGGAAAAAAATGGTGTTCTGCCTTCTGGCAATGTTTGCTTTCCAGCGACAGCCTGGAACCTAACTCGCTGTATAAGTGGGGCCCTACTGTATATATAGTGGCAGGAGTCAGGTGAAGTGTCGTGTGGGTAGAGGTGGTAGTAGTAGTAGTGGTGGAACAAAGGAGGTGAGACGGATGGCTAGAGAGGGACCTGCTGACATCATGTAACAGCAGTTTGCAGAATGGGTAATATCCTGTTGATTAGCAATTTTGAGATACTGTAACTACTGGACTTTTGCTTTATAGTGTTACTGACAGCAATTAGGGCAGCTTCTGTGCATTTTCTCCATCTTAAGTCATCTTCATTAATCATTAATTTAGCCTCACTGAATTTCATGAGGTGTCCAACATTGTCCCTATGTTGCACACACGCGTTTTTGTGGTCATCATTTCTGCAAACATTTTTGTGTTCAGCGATCCTAATGTCCAGAGATCTGGCTGTTTCCCCTACATATACTTTGTCACACCCCCCACATGGTAGAGTGTAAATTCCTGCACTTGTGCCAGAATCATGCTTAGGTTTTTGTATCAGGTTCCTAATAGTAGTTGAAGAGCTGGTAGATATTTTAGCCAGTTTTCTGTCATACATTTTTGAAATGTTAGTGGCAACGTTGCTGACCGGTAAAACAATGTAATTTGGAGGCTTTTCTTCAACTTGATTGGTGTTGGCGTTGTTGAGGATACGTGTCGCACGTTTCCTGCAGTCACATATGAAGTGTAGGGGAAAGTGTAGTGAACTAAAAGAATTGGTGATGCATATGCATTCTTCTTCGAGAAACTGCAGACTGGAAATTCTGTAGGCTCTCAAAAAGAAGCCAATAACTACCCCTCTTTTAGTTCTGGTGTCATGGTGAGAGAAGAAATGTAGAAAATTGTTCTTGTAGGTAGGTTTCCGGTAGACTTTAAAAGAAAGTCTGTTTTCATCAGTGCTTAGAAGAACATTGAGACAAGGTATTTGGTTGTCCTTCTCTTCCTCTAATGTAAATTTGATAGTAGGTTCCAGAGTGTTGATGGTGTTGAGGATGCCACGTACGTCTAAATTTTTGGGTAAAATGACAAGTGTATTTTCATATGGATATTTTATTGTTGTATTGTCGGTTCTTTGGCCTCATTAAATAGAATGGAAAATAGTATATTGCAGAAATAAAGCTGATTTTGATTGGTTTTAGGACTGAAAATAGCTTGAAATTGAGCTCAAAGTAGCAGAAATGTTTGATTTTTGTCGATATTCAAGAGTAAACAAATAATGTCACGTGTCCAATGCACATCAACTGGTGGATCTAATGAGTGTTCACAAATGTGATTCAATGTATCATGTTCAAATTAATAAATAAATTATATATACAATTATTACAATATTGCATAACAGTAAATCTTCTATTTTTTTTGTGTGTGAATAAAAATTCTTTGTGAATAAAAAAAAAAAATGGCATCCATGTATAAAGCCTGGAAACATAACTAATGAACAGAGGATACGTTATTTTAGTGCCAGGAATGCCTACATTGTTTATTCTGAACCCTATTTTGAAACAGGAATATTTTGAAATTTGTGTGAAATTGGCCAAATTACCAATTTCTGATCACTTTAGTGGGTAGTTGAAATAGTTGATTAGGCAATTTCTTGTGCTCAACCAATAAAATGGAAGACATACTACAGAAATAGCTAAGAATTTGGTCCACTGGAACAATGTAATTGGCCTAAATTAGAACTCAAAGTAGGCAAAATCGCTAATGCTTAAATATAGCTGATGCGGCAAAATTCATGTAAGTGTAACTTCAATTTTCCATTAATTTTCATACTTTTTGATTTATTACCTTCAGAAAAAGATTATCATTTCATAAGTAATTTTTTTTTTTTAATTCTTGGACATTGGGGGTCTGGAGAGTGAAGGGCTAAACTAATGCATAAACATATATGAAATAGGTGCTGTATACACATTACATCCAGGTTCCTTTTATTTTCTTAACTTTATTATGCAAAGATAAGCAGAGGATATACAAACACTAAGAGTCCATCTCATGGACAGGTACTGGTAATGTCTGCCCTCTCAATTTGTATATAAATATTATCTCCAGCATGCTAACATTTGAACACATATGATGCAAATGATATGGTATGCACGAATCAACTAATTTAATCACAAAGATCTGAGAATTGCATGGGACATGTATTTATGCACCACTGAGACATGGGATGGGGAAGGCAGGGGAGGAAGCTAGGCCTCCCCCATACAGAAAATGGCCTGACCCACAGGCAGGCTGCCTGCGAGTCCACTAGATGGATGGAAAACTCCCGCTCCTCGTAGAGCTAGTTCAGCTATCAAAACTTTGGGGGGCCCAGGCCCTGGATCCATTATATACCTCTGTAATCTGTAAATACCTTTGAAACTTGTCATGATTGTGACCAGACCCACCTGGAGTTCATTACCTTTGTAAATTGTGAGTTCATTACCTCTGTAACTTGCTCAGCTATCAAAACTTTGGAGTCCAGTCCCTGGACCAATTATGTACCTCTGTAATCTTTTGACTACCGCCCACAGGATGGGTATGAGGTGCATAATAAACATATTAAACTAACTCCTCATAGAGCTCCAAATTCTTCCCCCAGAAGAGGCACTGTGCTAGTCAAATTTTACTAAGTGCTCATCAAAAATATGATTCAATAATGTAATAGCAAAAACATGTTAAGAGGATAATGTGTTAATTGACAATGTCCTCGAAATAACATAGGCAGCAGGTTTGTTTTTATATTTAAAATATAAAAGAGTAAAAAATTTTTAACAATGAATATTATGGTGACCATGTTATCATGATTAATAATGTATTATTAAAAAACAAACTCACAGAAGCTTTCAACTTACAGTTAACGTCTTCAGAGAAATTTCACCAGTAATTCTCTCAACCTTCTCCATTATGGTGGAGCCAGACTCTTCCAGGAAGCTGGGGACATCTGTGTCACCTGTCTCCATGACCACCAAGTCCAGAGCATTCTTGATAGTCTCCTGCACCTGTATTCATCAACACAAATATAAATGGTGGATGCCAGCAACAATCCAGATGTTAAAAAGGCTCACGAGGAAGCCTTCACCAAATTCAGCTTCAATAATAAGAACATAAAGTGGGACCAAGTAAACCATGTCCTAACTGATATAAGCTGGGAAGACACACTAAGCAACACAGACCCCAACTTATGACTAGAACAGATTAACTCTGTGTCACTCGATGTATGCTCAAGGTTTTTTCCTTTAAGAAAAAGGAGGAGTAGATATGAAATACAAAGAGACAGGTGCTCCTTTTAAAGGCAACGGAAAAGAATAGCAGAGCGGCTAAAAGAGGCCAATATATCTGCAATGCATAGGGAGACACTGGTCAGAGAAATAGCAAACATCGAACTAAAGCTAAAGGAATCCTATATGAGTCAGAAATTGCGGGAAGAACTAAAAGCCATAAATGAAATCGAAAGAAACCCAAAGTATTTCTTTTCTTATGGTAAATCAGAGTCGAGAACAACATAGAGTATTGGGCCCCTACTTAAACAAGATGGGTCCTACACAGATGACAGCAAGGAAATGAGTAAGTTTTTAGCAAGATGCTAACCAGACTGAAAGTCGAAGATCTAAATGAACTTTTTATGAGAGAGCCACAGAATTTGGTAAACACAAGCCTATCTGACATTATCCTGATGCCAAATGACTTCGAACAGGCGATAAATGATGTGCCCATGCACTCTGCCCCAGGGCCAGACTCATGGAGCTCAGTGTTCATCAAGAACTGCAAGAAGCCCCTATCACATGCTTTTAACATCCTATGGAGAGGGAGCATGGACACTGGGGTCATCCCACAGTTACTAAAAACAGACAGCCCCACTCCACAAAAGGGGCAGTAAAGCAATAGCAAAGAACTACAGACTGACAGCACTAACATCCTATAACATAAAAATCTTTGAAATGGCCCTAAGAAGCAAGATCGCCACCCATTTAGATACCCATCAGTTACATAACCTAGGGCAACATGGGTTTAGAGCAGGTCACTCCTGTCTGTCCCAACTACTGAATCACTATGACAAGGTCCTAGATGCACTAGAAGACAAAAAGAATGCAGATGTAAAAAACACAGACTTTGCAAAAGCCTTCAACAAGTGTGACCATGGTGTAATAGCACACAAAATGCATGCCAAAGGAATAACAGGAAAAGTTGGTAGATGGATCTATAATTTCCTGACAAATAGTAGTAGTAAACAGAGTAGTATTCAACAGAGTAAAGTCTGAGGTGGCTATGGTGAAAAGCTCTGTTTTCTGTACTCGCCCCCATCTTGTTTCTCATCCTCATATCTGAGTTTGACAGGGATGTAAGCAACAGCACCATGTCCTCCTTTGCAGATGACACCCGAATCTGCATGACAGTGTCTTCCATTGCAGACACTGCAAGGCTCCAGGCAGACATCAACCAAATCTTTCAATGGGCTGCAGAAAACAATATGAAGTTCAACGATGAGAAATTTCAATTACTCCGATATGGTAAACATGAGGAAATTAAAACTTCGTCTGAGTATAAAACAAATTCTAACCACGTCATCAAAGACTTGGGAGTGATCCTGTAAGAGGATCTCACCTTAAAGGACCATAACATTGTATCAATTGCATCTGCTAGAAAAATGATGAGATGGATAATGAGAACCTTCGAAACTAGGGATGCCAAACCTATGATGACACTCTTCAAGTCGCCTGTTCTATCTATGCTGGAATATTGCTGCACACTAAGAGCACCTTTCAAGGCAGGTGAAATTGCTGACCTAGAAAATGTACAGAGAACGTTCAAGGCATGGATAACTGAGATAAAACACCTCAATTACTGGGAGCACTTGAAGTTCCCGAACCTGTACTCCCTGGAATGCAGGCGGGAGAGATACATGATTATATACACCTGGAATAATCTAGAGGGACTAGCACCAAACCTGCACACGAAAATCACTCCCTACGAAAGCAAAAGACTCTGCAGGCTATACAACATCCCCCCAATGAAAAGCAGGGGTGTCACTAGCATGTTAAGAGACAACACAATAAGTGTCAGGGGTCCAAGACTGTTCAACTGCCTCCCAGCATACATAAGGGGGATTACCAATAAACCCCTGGCTGTCTTCAAGAAGGCACTGGACAAGCACCTAAAGTTGGTACTTGACCAGCCGGACTGTGGTTCGTATGCTGGATTGTGTGCAGCCAGCAGTAACAGCCTGGTTGATCAAGCCCTGATCCACCATGAGGCCTGGTCACAGACTAGGCCGCGGGGGTGTTGACCCCCGGAACTCTCTCCAGGTAAACTCCAGGAACATTTACCTAGGATAACTACCTAACACAACTGCCAGCTAATACTTTGAAGAAAACTGCTCAGACAAGGTGTTTCGTCTGTGCCCATACAAAAAAACACCCACGAATTTGCAGAGACACTCGTTTTGTGTGAGGAGTGTAAAACACCACTGTGTATGGAACCATGTTTTATGTGTGAGGAGTGTAAAACACCACTGTGTATGGAATCATGCTTTAAAGAGTTCCACAAGCTGCAGAACTTCTAGGAATATGTCCAGTAACTGTACATTTGTATATATATTACAGAACAATAGTAATAAACAATTTTTTGCATTGTTTGTTTTGTAAACAAGTTTTGTAAACAATATATTGATAATTATGTTTGTGCACTTATTGTGTTGTATACAACGAATGTATATATGTACATTGCACCTTACTTTGTTCTCACAGGCCACGAAAGTTATGCGAATAAATAAAATAGTGAAAAAACAAGAAACCTTCAGATGCAAGTAAATCAAAATTTACCGAGTAAGTGGCATTCGCCGCTGTTGCCATATGTGACTCATTTCTGTCAACTTTACTCCTCTATATCTCAGTAAGTACTGATCACAATTTTTTTTTTTTTTTGGGGGGGGGCTTAAAACAGTCAGAAAATTAATCTTAACATTCTCATAAGAATTTTTTTTTTTTTTTGAATAGTCTTCAACACCAGGAGACACTTCAGGATTTGGGGTTGTGACAGTCAAAGAGTTAAGCTGCTGGTAAACTTGTTCAATGGAGGGCATCTCAGATCAGATTCACAGACAGTACAATACACACATCATCACTAATCCCTATCAGCAATTTTCTTAGGTTTGACTTACGTTTATTTTGACTTACAAACGGCTGGTCGGAACCAAGCTCAGTCGTAAGTTGGATGGTACCTGTACTACAGTGGCTGCAAAGAAAATCTATACATTGCCAATGCAAAAAAATCTATACACAAGATTTTGGTACATACATTTCACTTCTGTTTCCACCATAGGAAAAGTTGGCAGAGCCTGTAATGATACAGTGTACTGGAGCCTGTCTTGTTCCTTTGTTTCCCATCATGCTATGCTTCAGTGCTCTGCCAGAGCACAGTGAGGAAGGAAGTCTGCTACGTTGTTCCTCAGTGCCCCTTTTTTCACTTGATCATGAACTTTGCCACACTATATTTCTGCTGCAAGTGGTCAGAATGGGTCAAACTAAACTTTCAATTGCAGAGAAGACCCATGCACTCACCCTATTAGAGTAAGTCATGACTGTGATATGCATAGTCACAGACCTGAAGGTAACTATAATGACAATTTACAACCTTAAGAAAGCACCCTGGAAATTGGACTCTTGGGACACCCAGAATGACTTCTCTTCACACAGACAAGATCCTGAAGAGGGAAATGTTATCAGATCCTGCCATAAAAACCCACAGGCCTCAAGAAAAAAGCATTCTGCTATCCTGAAAGACATCACAGTGCAAACTATTCATACCAACTGCAAAAGGACCTGAAAATGCCTGCTTGACGTGCTGCCATTAAGCCCATGCTAACTAAAGCCATGAAGAAGAAATGGTTTCAGTTCTGCAAGAAGTACAAGGACTGGACCTCAGACCAGTGGCAGAAGGTGATGTTCAGTGATGAGAGTACCTTCAGGCTCGTCAGGAATGGCTCCAAGACCATTTGACATACCAGTGGTGTGTCCCGTTATGACTCTCGGTATGCCATGAAGACAGTGAAGCACCCTGAGAGTGTTATGGTCTGGGGTGCTTTTAGTGGTTATAAGGGCACTGGTGGACTATACTTCCTTCTTAAAAACATTATGATGAAAGGAAGTAATTATATCAAGGTGTTAACACCTTGATATAATTATATAATTATATAATTATATAATTAATAATAATATCTCAACTCACCGCTCACCTTTTTTCCTTCATCAATTCTACGATTAACCTCATCCTTCATAAATCCATCCGCCGACACGTCAACTCCCAAGTATCTGAAAACATTCACTTCTTCCATACTCCTCCTCCCCAATTTGATATCCAATTTTTCTTTATCTAAATCATTTGATACCCTCATCACCTTACTCTTTTCTATGTTCACTTTCAACTTTCTACCTTTACACACATTCCCAAACTCATCCACTAACCTTTGCAGTTTTTCTTTAGAATCTCCCATAAGCACAGTATCATCAGCAAAAAGTAACTGTCAATTCCCATTTTGAATTTGATTCCCCATAATTTAATCCCACCCCTCTCCCGAACACCCTAGCATTTACTTCTTTTACAACCCCATCTATAAATATATTAAACAACCATGGTGACATTACACATCCCTGTCTAAGACCTACTTTTACCAGGAAGTAGTCTCCCTCTCTTCTACACACCCTAACCTGAGCCTCACTATCCTCATAAAAACTCTTTACAGCATTTAGTAACTTACCACCTATTCCATATACTTGTAACATTTGCCACATTACTCCTCTATCCACTCGATCATATGCCTTTTCTAAATCCATAAATGCAATAAAAACTTCCCTACCTTTATCTAAATACTGTTCATATATATGCTTCAATGTAAACACTTGATCTACATATCCCCTACCCACTCTGAAACCTCCTTGCTCACCCGCCATCCTACATTCTGTCTTACCTCTAATTCTTTCAATTATAACCCTACCGTACACTT